AGACTCCTTGGCTTGCAGACCACGTCGTAGGTGACCAGGCGCTTTTCCCAGCCACCGGGATGATCATGATGGCTTTAGAAGCCGTAAAACAGCACTTTCAGACCGACCAAGTCATCTTGGGCTACAATATCAAGGAAGCAACATTCATGAATCCCATTGTCATTAGCTCTGAGCCTAATAGCAAGACAGAAGTGGTCACTCAGCTACGCCCGCTTCGTCAGGACTACGAGAAGACATCGACACGTTCAGAAATTCGTATTTTTGCTCGATCAGATAGCGAGTGGATCGAGTGTGTCCGAGCTGAAGTGCATGTGGACTACGAAGAGACTGCCACGGAAGTAGATTGTGGTCTTGAAGCGAGAGCTCACGCTAAGGCATTGCTCGATAGCTACATTGCCGCGGAAGAACAATGCAAGCTTCCTATAAGCAAGACGGACTTCTATGACTGGCACAAGAACCAGGGCCTCAAATACGGCGAAGCGTTCGCGTTGGCAGACAACATCCTCTGGGACGGTGACGAGCTCGGTATAGCCAGCGTCGACGTCAGTGCGCCCATACATTCTTACGAAGGGGTGGTGCACCCAGCAGTACTTGATGCAGCTTGCCAAGTCTGCTTTACTGCGCCGTCAACTGGCATGTCAGACAAAATACCGACAATTATTCCTCACAAAGTCTATGATACCTGGATATCAGCATCTGGATGGCAATACCCTCAAACCCGCCGCATCAGGATGCTCACGACATCAAGATTCAAGAAGACAATCAAAGGCATCGAGAGCTCCTTTACGGCTCTCGCAGATGACGGATCACCGCTTTGTCATGTATCGCGTCTGGAGATGTCGCCAGTGCTTGGTGCGGAAACGAAGAACGAAGTGGAAAGGAAGCTGCTACATGACTTTGATTGGAAGCCGCAGCTATCGCTCATGAAGCCAAGCCAGCTCCAGGCGTATTGCGAAGCTGATTACTTCGCAGATGATGAATCAATGCACGTTGACTTCATCCTCGAACTTGAGCAGACGATTCGCGCTGTTGTTCACCGCAACCTCGGCCGGCTGGAAGACACGGACTGGTCTACAGCACCAACACATATGAAGAAATACCTGTCGTGGCTCAAGCTACACCTTGAGCACGTACCGATACTTTCGCAAGAAGAGCTCGCGGATGAAGAGCTGAATGAGAAGCTCAATGATCTAAGTACGCAATTCCCGGACTGGAGAATGTTCATCGAGATAGCAGAGCATATTGTCCCCATCGTATGCGGTGACATCAATGCGCTCGAACTGCTTTTCTCTACGACCCTCGCCCAAGACATATACAAGGCCATGTTCGCGCCGGTGTACAATGATAAGTTCATCTCGTACCTCAGGCTATTAGCGCACGAGAACCCAACACAGAAGATCCTTGAGGTTGGTTCTGGGACAGGCGCTATGACGGAACACATAATCTCCACGCTTCGCGATGTTGAGGCCCGCACGGGCGGTACAGCATTTTCTAGCTATACCTACACAGACGTTTCTCCCGGCTTCTTCGAGAAGGCACGCGAGAAATTCTCTCACAGCCAAGATCGCATGGTCTTCAAGATTTTTGATATCGAAAGCGACGTAACAAAGCAAGGCTTCCAATCTGGTACCTACGACGTAATCCTCGCCGGTAGTGTCATTCATGCCACGAAAAACCTCGCCCTCACACTCCAGAATTTGAGACGTGCGTTGAAGCCCGGAGGCAAACTCATTTTCCATGAGACTACGGCGCCAGACTGCTTCCTCATGAACTTTGGCTTTGGCATACTGCCTGGCTGGTGGCTCAGCGAAGAGAAGTTCCGTACTTCCGGACCAACCATTACAGAACCGGAGTGGGATCGCTTGCTACGGGAAAACGGGTTCTCGGGCAACGACTTCGTTATTCGCGATTATGAGGAGCCTGCTGCGCATCAATGCAGTGTGATATTCTCCACAGCCGTCGAAGACCTTCAGCCCTCACATAAAGGTGGCAGAATACTGTTCGTTGTCAACGATGCCAACCAGTCTCACTATGGTTTGGGCACCCAACTCTTGCAGCAAAAGCCCGGAACATCCCGTACGACGACAAGAATATGCCTATTCACACAGGTTGGCGTTGCCGAAGTGTCGAAAGAAGATATCGTCGTCTTTCTCGCTGATATAAGTGGGGATATCCTGATGTCCACATCGACTGAAGCATTTCAGCTCATTCGGGAATGGGTGCATGTATCCGAGAATCTCTTGTGGGTCTCTTCTGCTATGCTCCCCAACAACACCGACTGCTCTCCTTATCCTTGTGCTAGTCTCAAGGATGGCTTTCTTCGGGCCATGCGGCTAGAGTTCGCTAACAAGCGTATCGTAACGCTCTCGATTGAGGATACGGTCCGCGATTGGATCAGCGGATGCAACGCCATCTGGGATGTACTTGACGTAATGTCCTCAGCGCAGTCGCTGGAACTCGAGTACGTGCTACGCGACGGCCACATGATGACCGGACGGCTCGTAGAAGAGAGGGATCTGAACATGGACTTGAACTCAATGGTCAAGCCACAGATGCGGACAGAGCCCTGGCTTCCCGGTCCACCACTCAAGATCGAGATTGGAAGCAGAGGCTCTCTTGAAACATTGCATTTCGCAGAAGACACTGAACATCATGCTCCCCTCGGAGACCGAGAGGTCGAAATTGAAGCCAAAGCGTGGGGCCTGAATTTCCGCGATATGTTCCAGGCGCTCGGTCGACTGGAAGAAGATACCTTCGGCTCTGACTGTGCTGGTGTAGTCACGCGCGTAGGCTCCGCCTGTACACGGTTTCAACCAGGAGACCGAGTTTGCATTTGCGGGGTCGGATGCATGCGAATGTTCCCTCGCGCTGACGAATGGGCTACCATTGAGATTCCAGAGGCCGTCTCGTTCGAAGAAGCGTGCGCAGTACTGAACTGTGGCATAACAGCCTATTACTCCCTGGCCGAAGTTGCGAGATTGCAAAAGGGAGAAAAGATTCTCATACATGCTGCATCTGGTGCGACTGGTCAGCTTGCCATCCAAATCGCCAAATTGATAGGCGCTGAAATATTCGTGACCGTAGGCTTCGACTTCAAGAAGCAGCATCTCATCGACCTGTATGGGATTCCTTCCGACCACATCTTTTACAGTCGAAACACGACTTTCGCTAAAGGCATCATGCGACTCACAAACGGGTACGGCGTTGACGTCGTGCTGAATTCTCTTGTGGGAGAGGGACTGCGTGCCTCGTGGGAATGCGTCGCACCATATGGCAGGTTTGTTGAGATTGGCAAAGCTGACATCAACGCCAATTCCTCACTCCCCATGGCGGCTTTTGCAAACAATGTCTCATTCTTCGCGGTTGATTTGCGCCATATTGCTTTGAATCGCAAGCAGATGGGACGGGACTTGCTCCACAAGACGATGGTCCTTGTCGGAGAAGGAAACATACACTCTCCGAGGCCATTGAACCTTTTCCCGGTGTCAGACGTTGAGGGCGCGTTCAGGTATCTCCAGAGCGGGAAGAATACCGGGCGCATCATTATCCAAATCGATCCTTCTGCAAAAGTGCAGGTACGTTTGTCAGGTCTTAAGTATCGATCAAGACTGACTAGTTTAGAAACGCGTTCTCCGCCGTCGATCGTGGCAATTTGACCAGAACGCCAGCTATGTCGTTGCCGGAGGACTGGGTGGCATCGGGAGATCCATACTCAGATGGATGGCCTCTAGGGGCGCGCGACATCTGATCGTACCATCGAGGTCTGGTACTGCTTCGGGAGCTGCTGTTGAACTGGTGAGCGAACTAGCGGAGCTGGGCATCAACGTGTGCACCCCGAAGTGTGATGCATCCAATGCAGAGTCGCTCTCTGATCTTCTCGCTGCATGCGCAAAGTCTATGCCGCCAATTCGAGGTTGCATCAATGCCACCATGATGCTGAATGTAAGTCTCTCAATGCTCACGCTCGAGAAATCGCTTACCAAGTCTCGTAGGACGCGACATTCGACAACATGAGTCACACTCAGTGGGTTCAGACTATCCGTTCCAAAGCCCACACTTCATGGAATCTCCACACCGTGCTTCCTCGAGATCTGGATTTCTTCATCATGTTATCGTCGGTGGCAGGCGTCGCAGGCAACATTGGTCAGTCCAACTATGCAGCAGGCTGCACCTTCCAAGACGCACTTGCACGTCATCGAGTCCAGCACCAGCAGCGCGCAACGTCCATTGACCTGGGTGTCATGCGCACCATCGGCATCGTCGCGGAGACTGAACGCTTACACGAGAACTTCAAAAAGTCCGGCAGTCTCGGTCAGATTGAAGAAGATGAGTTCCTAGCGGTGTTGACCATATACTGTGACCCAGAACATACGAAGATGCCGATGACAATAGACAAGAGTCAGATCGCCATGGGTCTAGTAACTCCCGTTGATCTGATCGAACGCAATTTGGAACCAGCTGAGGTGTTGCAGCGCCCACTCTTCGCATCCTTCTCGCAAGCCCGTGGCACAAACCAGTCCAACACACAGAGTAGCGTCAGTGCTGCTACGCTGTTCAATCTTGCGGAGGACGATGAGCAGCGAGTAGCGGTAGTCCTCGAGGCGCTGGCGCGCAAGCTCGCCCGCGCACTGTCCATCCCTCCAGAGGAGATTGACGTCAATAAACCCCTTCACGCTTTCGGGGTGGATTCACTTGTCGCAGTCGAGCTGCGCAACTGGATTGGCAAGGAGTTTGCTGCGGACATTGCGGTTTTCGATATCATGCGCGGTAGGACCGTGGCCGCAATCGGGGAGCTGATCACGAGGATGAGTCAACTCAAGCGGACGAAGAAAACTGTGGCCAGTCTTGAGGCAGATGCATGATGCGATAGACAATTTTCATGTTGCTTGATGGATCGCTGCAGTGGGAACGCGGATGGCTGGGACTCCAGCCACTTCGTTACGATAGGGGCATTTGGCCCGTGGGTTCGGTCTAACCATAAACGGAATGTTATCATGACATCATAGCGAAGCACTCTCCCTGCTGTCTTTCTTCTCCTTGTGACGATCTAACCGCACCTCCAGCGGGCCCAAGTGCCGCTCTGAAGCTACTGTTCCTCTCAATACAGCGTAAAGGTAGATTCCGGTCAGCACCTCCGGCCTTCCATCCCGCTGCACACTCTGCGTCTGATCTTGCAGCGCTACGTCCGTATTCACTGTCGGGTCGCTGGGAGATGTCGCCTTCATCGCTTTCTTGTCCTTGCATATCCAGACGTTGCCGAGCATTGACGCAGCGAGGATGCTGAGGGCTAAAAATGGTAAAATGGAGATGAACGACCAGCTGATAGCATTGGCAGCAGCAGATCGGAAGCGCTCCAGATCTTCCAACGAAACGTCGCTAATAGCATTCAATGCGGTAGGCGAGTTGACGTCGAATCTAGATGATCCTTCTTCGCTACCGATGAAGTAGGCCGACATCTTGTTCTGGAAGACCGAGCCCATCACCGTCAAAGTTATGGTTCCACCGAAAGGACCAGCGAAGCTCAAAAGGCCAAGAATGACGGCGATCTTGTCTCGGTACATTCCTGTCAGGTGCAGGTTCTCTGGCATAAAGCGGATCCCAGTACCGAACCCGGCGACACCCATGAGCACGTTGACAGCGGTCCTCTGGCGAGCGCGTATAGCCCAAGAGAGTGCTCCAATGCTACCTGTTTCTACGATTGTGCCGATCAGTAGGGGCCAGAGGGTCTGCCTAGGATATACGTTGCACATGATGATGGCAGTGTATACGCCGATACCGATCCCGGGAACGTAGAACAGGAGCTGAAGCCCAGCTTTTCCAGCGTCGAAACCTTCAACGAGCGTGAAGTAGATGCCGGCGAAGTAGAAGCAGGCGTAGAGCGCTGCACCTGTTGCTGCGGAGATGATACAGACTAGGGTCACATCCTTCTCGTGAAAGAGTTGGTATGGCACCACGGGCATGATCCGTGGAAGCCGTTGCGCGAGATGTCGGCCCGGCGCCATGTATCGTTGGTACACCACGAACACTACCAGCAAGAACGGGCCGGTGATAAGCGGTGTTAGGACGGCTGGTGATGTCCAGGCATAAGCCGAGCCACCCCAACTGGTCGCCAGGATAATCAGTGCCACTCCAACGACGAACGTTCCCACGCCGATCAGGTCGATGCATGCGCATCCATCAAGGAAAGACCTAAGAGAAGTCTGACCCGACTGTGGATGAGCCACTGAGTACCTCCCCTTCTTCAGATCAGGTCGCAGGAACGCAATAGTGATGATGCTTATTGCGCTCAAGGCGGACAAGAGCACAAAGACATATCGCCAATGCACATTCGTCATGTAGCCTCCGATCTGCAGATCCTGTTAGTGACGATAAACTCAGCTGCTGAGAGTCATACCAAAGGCCCTGTTGCGTATGCGATGCCGATCAAGAAGTGAAAGATACTGGTATTAAACGCTTGCTCCTTCAGAGACACATTGTCCGCTAGAATGATGAGGGAGCATGTAGACATGCCTGCCGTCCCCACGCCCTGGAGCGCTCGACCTAGCACCAAGACTGGCCAAACTTGTGCACTTGCGCAAAGGACGGCGCCCAGGGTCATGATAGTAACGGCAGATTGCAGAGCTGCGTGCCGCCCGAAGACATCTGCTAGTTGGCCGAACAAGGGGACGAACGCGGTGTCTGTGAGGGTGAAGGCTGTACCAATCCAGCTTATCTGGTTCAAAGCTTCTGCTCGGTGGTGAGCATACATACTGGCAGGGGTTGGCAGGAGTACTGACGGAAATGAGACGCGATGAACGGTTGAGCTGTCGCGACAATAGTCAGATCCATACTCGCGGTATAGAAGCCTGGTAATAACAGTAGAAGAAACTTCCATCGTCGTGCATTAGTTTTCCATGCTTCTTCGCTGGTGATCGCAATGATGCTAGCTGCGATGGAATCAGGTTGGTGTTTCTGGCCAGACTGTGAGGGCGCCGTCATCGTGAGGAAGAAAATGCGGAACTTGGCTCTTGAAGACCAAAACGCTGCTATATGAAAACCGTAATGATGTATGCGCCGATGTATACTCCAATTCTGGTTTCGAAGTCCACGTCGTTCTTATGAAGAATGATGCACGTCTCTACCGTAGAGTGCCAAGTGTATTGGCGAAGTGTTGACGAGTGCGAGAGGTCGGTGGCGCAGGCCAAGCATGTCGCATTCGCTAGCACCGGGCGTCAGGTGCGATTCTCAGTCTAAATTCGCATTCGCTAGATCGTTCGCATTACACGGGACGTTGTATCTTCTGGGACATTTATATGACTGACGTCAACTTCGAGTGTCTCTCTTGTGTGTTGCATAGTCTTGTAGGCGCAGTGAAGGCACAATCCAGGAATTTGAGCTCTTGTAAAAGATTACTTGGCTCAAACTAGTACGAGGCCTGAGCAAGATCATCGGAAGTGAGCGAACATGACCGCAGATTACTACTACATGATATTGAGACGAAGGAGCGTTATTAACATTAGACTAAAGATTGACAAACACGATAGATGAAGGAAGTGAGAGCAACGCCAACCATCCTCAGCCTATTTGTGAGATGATGTGAGCTCCGCGAACCGACCTTAAGTCTCTCTGGTAGTCGTTCATCCTTGCAGAGAAGATGCGAACGAGATCAGCAACATTCTGATGAAACTTCTTGCGCTCAGCGTCGTTCGGGAACTCGAACCGAAGCCAGTACATGTCTCGCACGCGCACCGCACCGGCATTGGAGGATGACCAGTGAGCACCGACAGCCGCCAGATTCCAGCTGTTGAGCCCTTTCTCCGCATAAAATCGACGAGTTAGCAGTGGTGTACCAGATCGCTCTAGCACACTGACTGTACAGCTGGCTTTGGTGCTTCGGCAGTCGCAGCTTTTTGGCTCGATCTTCGTACGCTCGTCGAGCTCAATGGCTAGAAAGGATAACTGCCCTGTATCTGGCTGTTTGAGAAATACCACAAGTAATGGCAGCTCTGGTTGTGTTAAATGCACTGCCCTGACTGCAGAGCCCAGTGATATCTCTTGTGAGTGAGCGCTGGAGATGTTGCTCATGATACTGGACGTCGAGGTGAAAGTCCGTTCGCTGAGTGGCTCAGGACTCCATGCGCCCGATACAGTTTCTGGAGAATTGAACAGGTCCTCTGACGACTTGCTGTATTGGTGCTGGGACGCAGGTCTCTTTTCGAAAGAAGCTTTTTGCCACAACTGTATGTTTCCGATCTCAGTCAGTACGTCGGTGGTCTTGCTTGGTCTACCTTCGGATGCGCCACTGTTCGTTGGGAAGCCCTGCCCTTTCACGAGGGATGTGACTATCACAGTTCTCCTTCAAACGTGTCAGTCTTGTGCAGGCATAGAGTTTAAGTGCTGCTTGCGCGACAAGTTTGGTAGGCTAATAGCTACCCACCTTTGATGTACGCATCTGTAGCCCGTAATGAGGTGTTGCAACCTGAACAAGTCGGTACATGAGCGAGACTCTGGAGTCAGGCCATTTGTATCATCAGGCGAGCTCTGCAGCTTTACGCTACAAGAAGCATCTTGCGAGCCTGGAACTTTCGGTATTGCATACACAGGGACTAGGAAAACCGTCCTTGGGTCAAGGTTGAGTTTTTGTGTTACTCTGTCCCTGGAACTGCCACCAGTGCATGGTGTTGTATTCGTAGTGCTATCTTCCACTCCCAACGTCCCATCCATGTTACGCACTACGCGAAAGGTATGTGTCTGCGTACCGGAGACAAGCGAGATGTCTAGAAGAACCCCAAGATTCGTTTCATGCACGTTATCGTTAATGGGGATAGGTCTCGGCCAGATAGCAAGCATTTCCTCGCGAGACCGCATGATGGTAGATAGTCGGGGGGGGCGCGATTGGACTGCTGGCGATTCGAGCGCACTCTATGCGAAGTCTTCGATCCATTTCCCTGATGCACCTATCATAGAGACCGCCTGGATTTGAGCTTTGAATACTTGACCAATCGTGTCCTTCCTTAATCTTGTCCATTAGCCATATGCTTTTGAGAAGCCGAAGATATGATGTCGCATCTCCATCAGGATGAGCGCCATTGAAATGGTTGCAAAAGGCTTCTAGGCCTTCTCTGACTGATACTTGCGGCCCGTCAGATGTTTTCTCCCAGTCAAACGTATACAATAAAGAACGTTGCTGTAACTCCGCCGCGAAGCGCTTGGCAAGCTCGACAGGGACTTCTATATCTCGCTTGATCACTGGATGATACGCGTCGGTGCGTGAATCGCGACTAGCAACAAGTAGGTGCTTCAGCTCCTGAATTCGCTCCGCAAGGTCTTGGTGTTGTTCATTGTGGAGATCCCGCAGCTGTGTTTGGACATGAATGTTGAACGCGTCGAGAACGAGACCAATCTTGACGGTGTGGAATTTCAGCCGCTCAGTCAAATCTCTGACCTGCGCATCCGAGTTCAGGTTGTAGATGATGTTGGTGATGAAGCCGTCTTTGCCAGTACGAAATTTGCTGACATCATTGAGCAACTTCTGACTTTGTTCCAGCGTCAAGCGGAAGTTACCCACGATATCGGTCAGAGCTGTGGTATCATATAACTCAGAACCATAGCTCTCGAGCCTTCCGTTTTCTAAGCCGGTGTTCGCGGTTCTGACGATGGATTCGATGGTGTTGAGACTCCAGTGCAGCCGGAACAACGCGTCGCCAAACTCGAGATACCGTTGCGCTAAGACAATACGGTTAGCGCGAAAACGCGGTGCGGTGGCTGGGAGGACGAACGCAGCGACTTCTCCTTCGTAAACCCCTTCTCGTATATGATCCACGATAATTTGATGGCGCCGCAAATGAAGCTGAGTACACCGAAATCCCACGGCACGTTACCGATGGTTGCAATGCTTTGAGAAGATGCAGGCTTAGGACCGACAACGATACCTCAGGAGCTGTCTGTCGTTATCTGGCACACGCGCATCCCTTCCTCAGACATCCCCTGCATCTACTCGACTGTGGCAAGCGATGCTTTGTTCACTTTCGGATTTAGCCTTGCCTCCTACGCAAAGTGGCTGTCTATCGAATTTCGAAGCGACCTTGTGTTAGTGGCTGCTGTTCACATGGCAAGTATCGTTAAGTAAGGAGTCGCAGCTCCGCGGTGCGAAGGCTCTAACAATCGACGGAAAGAGTAAAGCTACCAGCAAGGGCTTCAAAAACTAGCTCTCCTCCCGGGTGATAACTAATGCATGAAACTCAAGGGATAAATCATTCAGATACCATTACCGGCTTCTTACTGGACAGCTACTACTGTAGCTAGGTACTACTTATCCAACCGGATTCCTAAGCTTCACCAGCTCCAAATCGATGCTCATTACCGAACGATGGACGAATCATGTAGCGTCCAATCGGGAGACCGCAGCCTGTGCTTAGACGAAGAAGACCGCGCATACCTCGAGGCTTTGAACGACAAAGATGTTGTCGCTACGAAAAGCACGCCGAATCCTCTAGGTCTCTTCTCAGTAGTGGCCTTCATACTCCAGCAAGTCATCGGTACTGGCATATTCCGAACACCATGGACCGTTATGCAGGCCACCGAGAGCCCGGGAATCACGCTTTGCTTTTGGGCTTTCGGTGGGCTTGCAGCCATCGCGGGTTCTATATTGTACATCGAGTTCGGCTTGACTACACCTCGGCATTCAATTGATGACGAAAGAGTGCCGGTTGTACGCAATGGTGGAGACATGAACTACGTGAGTGCAGAACTGCAAGCCTGCCACTGATACACGGCTGACCGCGACTAGGTGAACTACCTCATCAAGCGACCCAAGTTCTTCGTCTTTTCCTTCTACGCAGTCAACTACGTGATCGTTGCTTCGAGCGCAGCCAACGCATTGACTTTCGGCGACGACATAATAGGCTCTCCAGGTACCGATAGAGGCGCAGCCAAGGATGCCGCGGCACGACGTCTCGCGATAATGGCAGTAACGCTTCCATGCTTCTTGCACGCGTTCACTCGACGTGGGGGTATCCTCCTCAACAACGTCATCGTCGTTGTTAAAATCGCCATTCTTTGTGTGTTCCCCATCATGGCGATATGTGTATTGGCCGGTGTCGCGCATACGAATCACGCAACAGCCAATATGAGATACAGGAACTCGTTTGCGCGGACGCACGGAAACGCCGGCAGCTATACGCAAGGCATGCTAGCGGTCTTTTACGCCTATGGGGGGTACAACCAAGCCAACTATGTAAGTCTTAATCAGTCTGACGATCCATCGACCTACACTTACGCATACTCAGATACTCTGCGAGATCCACAGACCACGCAAGAACTTTCCCAAAGGCATCATCATTGCTCTCGGGATGATCTGCATCTTATACATGCTCGTCAATGTCAGCTACGTAGGTAGCCACATAGTCAGTTCCCAGATCTGCGCTGACGCACTCAGATGATTGTAGTCAGCAAAGAGCAACAACTTACATCTACCGACGTAGCCCTCGCTTTCCTCAACAATGTCATAGGCCACAATCACGCTTCCACAATCCTCGCCATCTTCACGACCATCAACAGCTTCGCCAACGTCATCGGCATGACATTCACACTTGCCCGCGCAAAACAAGAAATAGCGAAAGAAGGCATCCTACCATTCGCCAAGTTCTTCGGCGAGAACCGCATTCTCTTTCGCAAATACCGAGAGAAACACCATTCCAGCCAGTCAGAGCCAACACCCCTAGGCGCGCTCTTCCTCCACTGGGTATGCGCCGTGTTTCTCATACTGGTAACATGGCCCATGAAACCATCATCCGCGTACCGGATTCTCGCAAACCTATACGTGTACCTCATCGATATCATACCAACCTTCATCATGGCAGTCGGCATGTTGTATATCCGTACCTTTACAAAGTGGTCTCTCAAATCGCCTCTTCCAACTTGGCTCAGTGTCACCGCTGCTGTGATCTACGCTATCGCGGGCGGCTTCCCCTTAGTCGCAGTCTGTATACCACCGTTTCAATACTCAGACCTTGACGTTCACGACATTATTCCAGGGCTCCCTTGGTACGCGACAGGATTGTTGTCGTGGATAATGCTGACATGCTGTATTATGTATTGGGTTTCGTTTCGCTTCTTCCTTCCGCGCATTGGGCCTAGGAAAGGAAAAGAATTCGTGGTTGAGAGGGAGCCGGTGTTTCGCATGCAGAATGCGGAGAGGGTGCAGTGGCATGAGATTGTGCTGCATAGCTGGGTTATCAAGGCGCAGCCTGAGAAGAGGAGAGGGTATATGTTGGATGATCTTTGAGTTTAGCCATACTGATTTCTACCTCATCGCAATTGGACTCAAAATCTAATTTTACACATCCTCCTTCCCCTTCAACTCATTAGGCTGTACCATAACCCTCTTCTCCCTCAACCCCTCCCTCTCCTTCTCCTGCTCCTCCTCCTCCTCCCTCTTCTTCCTCCTCAAATACTGACAAAACTGACTGCGATCCCTCATCCTCCCGCCCCACCGCACAAACACAAACGGCACAACACACAGCGCCAGACTGAAGAACCCCAGTAGACTAGTCGCCCAAGCCACGCCCATAGTCCTATACATCGGTTTCGCTGCAAAAGGCAACACAGCCCCAAATGACGACCGCGATAAACTCGCTGCCGCCATGGCACTCGCGGCGAAGACTTCGTATGCATCGACAAGATAGTTGAGTAAAGCCATGAAGAGACACAGATATCCCATTCCGAACAGTATACCCGCGAGTGTGGGCACAATCCAATGGATACTCTCTCTACTCGTCCAGCCCAGCCAGAACGCACTGATAACGAAAAACGGGCCGGCGATGCAAGCGAGAGGCAGCCTCCGCATCTCTTCGTTGCGCGACCAAGGGCGATTGAGGCGTTGCGCGCGGGCCAAGTACCAGTCCCACGACAGGTAGATGCCAGCGGAGATAAGGGCGCCGACGCCGATAGGGAGGAAGGCGAGACCTGTTTCACCGGCGTTGAAATGGTAGATGCCGGTGAAGATTATGGGATAGGATTGCAAGAATATGTAGAATATGGCGTCTTTGAGGGTGGGGTTAGTAGGGAGATGGCTTTGTGCAGGGATAGTGGGGGAGGGTTGACTTACAGGCGTAGCTTAGATATAGACATGTGAATAGAACGAGAGGTTCGAAGCAGATCATACGTAGTGGCCGGGTCAGAATGACGGTGACAATGTGATTCAAATCCGTCTTCTCCAGTTCAAGTGGCGCAATGATATTCTCATTACCCGTTTCCTTGCGTAGTCGCTTTGCTCGCCGCTTTAGGATCGTGGGTCCGTATGTTTCGTCGAAGAAGTAGAACAGCGGCCATGTTGCTCCGGCAAGTATGACCCCGATCCAAAAGGCCCAGCTCCAGGATATCACGCTGATGAAGCCTGATATCGGGGGTCCGAGAATGGGTCCGAATGTTGTTGCGGCCTGTTATACCTTGATTAGTTCTCCTTTCCTTCTGCTAGAGTTCGTTATGAGGAAGGGATTAGGAGCCACATACCATGAAAATCGCCATACTCCTTCCCCGATACTTAGGATTATGATAGATATCCGCGCAGATCCCCCCAACAACACTGATCGCGCAACTCCCTCCCACACCCACCAACAACCTGAAGATGACGAGCGAAGCGAAGTTTGGTGAGAGCGCCGAAGCGATGGAGAATATTGTGAAAAAGGCAAAGGATATCACCATGGTTCCTTTGCGGCCGTAGGATTCTGAGAGAGGGCCCCAGAGCATGGGGCCGCATGCGTAGCCAACTAGATACATGGATGTGGGGAGGATGAGCGCATATTCGTTGGTTTGGTTGAAATGGCGAGATATTGGAGCCGTGGCTCCGGCTGCTAGGCTGGAGGTCATGGTGCTGTTCATCACTTTGTCTGGTTCAGCTGAGTTGTCAAAAGAAGGATTAGGGTGGCTTACCACTCATGATAGCAACGACGAGGGCGTAGATCTTCTTCCACTGGAATACTTGTTAGTCCTTCTTCGAATCAATTTTCCATTGTTCAACTCACACGCCCCCAATTGTTAGGATTCTCAGGGTCTCCATCTTCAAAGCGGATAACCCGTCTCCCACTCGTCTGCTCATCGTGGACACTCGACGCCGGCGACGGTGAATTCGACAGTCCATGCGAGCTCAGCGTTGAAGGTGTTCTCGACGCAACTTTCTCAATCGCATCCTCCTTCTCCGTATCGTCAGATGTGCCAGCATCTTTCTCAAGTTCCCTCAGTCGCGCAGCACGCGAGCTCTCTATAGCACCGGCTATGTTGACCCGTTAGTAACCCACACCCCCAACATCGCAGTAAGACGGAGTTATGCGTACAGCGATTTCTTGAACTCTGTCGACTCGTCGTACTTCTCTGACTCTTCGAAGTAAAACTGCGGACAAGAGCGACTGGTGAGGTAATGGCCTCATGACCCGGCCCTAAGCCTTGTTGTTCCCGGGAATAAGTTCGTTCCAGATCTGCACTCTCCATGCTGAAATGATTACCCGTAAGGATGACGCGCCTTGCTTTCCAGCAATTCGAGGCTCAGAGAAGCAAAACGGATGACTTTGCGAATGCAGTTAGAGAAGGAAAACGGGTAGTAACAGACTACTTGGGTAGTATACTGCGCGACCCCGCGCACTTGGGTTAGCCATCCGAGGTGTTTAAGTAGGCGCCACAATTCCCCTGATCAATAATTTTCGTGGCTGCACGTCTACCTGGTTTGTCGATCGTAGCTGTTACCGCATGCAGAGTAGGCGGGGCTTAACTTACGAATGCATGACGGGTACCGTTTAGCTGCGTGCGCCCTACGAGGCCCGACGGGGAACAAGACGTTATTGTGCATCGGCAAACTTACCGATGCGCGGCTCTCCAAAGTGGAACTCGGTGCATTGCATGCTAATTGACCTGTAATGAGTCACGTGCGTTCTCTTCTTTTGTTTTGCGAGGAAGGGAATGCGCGTTTGACTCAGAGTACCATGTCTTCGGTCTACGGATTAGTAAAGTCCGACGGTATGCGTTAGGAATTATGGAACGCCGATTCGGAATTCGATCCATCTCGGAATGCGATTTCAGACTGGAGTGTGTGTTGAATCTCGATTCTTGTTGCATGTATCTCTCCGTCGGCGAACCATCGCTGCAAGTCTATAGCATATGCATCGCCTACGTCTCGAGGTTGATGCTGCGGCCAAAGCGGCCATAGAGCGCCTTCTTCAGCTCTCCCATCTCTTCTTGAATCCCTTCAAGCTTGGCCTTGAGAGCTTCTACCTCGCTGTCAATAGTCTCTGTTGATGATCCCAGAAGCTCAAGGACCTGGGGTTGAGGTAATGAGACGAAGCAATCGCCGACTTTGTATCTATGGTTGTGATTAGCTTGTTGATACTCGGGCTATGTCTAATGACGAGCCATTTCGCAGCTCATCGCAAAGAACTTACGGTACTTTCTCCTCCTCATCAACCAGCTCGAGTTCGCCTGAGATCTCCTCCAAATCTTCCTTCTCCTTCTGCGCTGCTGTTAGAGGGAGTGCGGATTGGAGGCAGCGGGTTGAATCGTACAATCTTTGCCCTCAGCTCCTCTTCGAGAAGCTCCTCTTTTTGATGCAGCGAGCTGAATTTGTTGATCTTCTCTTGATCCTCGCGGCGTACCTCTAGGTCCTCGTTTTGGGCTGAGGCCTCTTCATCTTTCGTGAGCTGCCACCGTTAGCGGCAAAGCGCGGAACACGATGCAAAAATTGATGGCACTCACCATACGGCGCTGCATCGTGTCACTAAGCGTTGCCGAGTGATATGTGGGTGGTGAAATTGAATTGAAGCTGAGCTAGATAAGCAAGAGAAGTGAGAGACGTTGGTGGCTATGCTCCGGCGTTGCTCGTCTCTCCGGGTGTGAGAATGCCAAGACCGTGGCGAGGCAGGCGCGAGCCGGTGTTGAGTGGATTTCCGAAACCATCAATCACAACGCTCACTTCTGGAGACCTATGAAATGACACAATTGCGCTATGTATCGTTACGATGAACGCGTTGGTACCAACAATGCGGGCATAATATACTCTAAAGTTGTCATAGCTATCATCCTAACCACACACACCATAGCACTCCAGCGAACAACATCAAAGCTGTTGCAATCATACCGTATACTAAAGTACAATCTCAAAGACCAAGCCCGTCCTAGGACCGGACCGCAGTCCGAGTCAAAGGCGCACTCTATTCATCCTAACCACACAAACGATGCTTGAGCGCTATCGTCATATAATGGTGAAGGCGATAGCAAGCGAAAATCACAACTCATACCCTGCGCATCAATGCACAATTCGAAAGGGCAACCCGGAACAAGACCAGGCCCTAGTTGGATCCCAAGGCGCCTTCTCATCTTCGTTGAACAGCACGACATGAGTACTGAAATAAGATGCGATGAAGATTGATTATAGACCCACACATAGACGGAGACGCGTCGAAACACCCTAAAGGTGACTGTTACCAGCCAGCTCCATTCAGATCCCAAAAATGGAATCGCAATACAAGTGTATTTCCAAACTCCCTGCCCTTGCTGTGTGTGCACAGCTACACACTCTACCCTACTCCCCACCACCCTGTACCCCCAACCCCCCTTCCACCCTCTCAAATACCGCCCCATCCTCCTCCCTCTTCTCCACCAACTCACAACTAGCCTGACTATTCTGCGCATCACTAAGCGCCCTTACAACATCACTCTCCGCCTTATCCCTCACCAACTTCCTCAACGCCTGTATCAAAAACCCGCTAAAAACATCAACACTCCACTCATCAGGCACAATAGCCAACACATCGGCAACATCAAGCCAGCCCCCAAAGCGCTCTAGAAGTTCAGAGGTGCGCTCCACCCTCTGCGAAAGATCTTCTATCTGGAGAAATTCTCTGAGCAGGTGACCGAACATGCGTGATTGTTCTGCGCGCGTGGGGATCTGGCTGTGCGACACGGGCGGTGCGCCGGGGGTGGCGCGGCGGTGGATGGATGCGTAGCCGTAGAGGCAGTAGCTTATTGCTGTGTTGTAATCGCCCAAACCGTGTGTAAGCAGTTTCAGCGCTTCTTCGTGGCGCTCTTGCCGGCCGTTTAGGATGATCATTTCGGAGACTAGTTCCTGGCTGTAGGGCTGCAGCCGGGATAGAACGGTATGTACGTCGTAGGACGAGGTTTCGCTGAGGAGTTGCAATAGGCGGATGCGGGCGTGCCACCATTCTGCGTCGAGCGCGTTGTCGGTTATGAAGGAGAAGTAGGTTGGTTTCGGGGGTTCGAGGATGCGGTAGGTTTCGTAGCTTTGGGAGAGGGTGGCGCGGGATGAGGGGGTGCTTTCGAGTTCGGTGATTACGGTGGAGAGGTAGAATGCTATGAGTTCGTTTACGTACTCTGGGTGCTGGGGACGGTGTTAGTAGAGCGAGTAAAAATGTGCGGAGGGGCTTACCTTTTTCTGGCCGAAGACAAGATACTCCAGGTACTCTTTGACAGCGCCTGGCGCCTTGTCTCTTAGTAGAGCGACAGCTCGAGTAGGATCAAACTTGACTCTACTCTGATCGTCCGCAAAGACTTGAACACCCAGCTTTGGATTCCTATTCGCAAGCCATGCGCCATATTCTTCTACCAGAGCTTGATCGCGAATCTTCCGTAGGTAGTCGCGCACCTTATGCTCGCCATCTACAAGTTCGCCTCCTTTGTCTTCCTCGCCTTCCAAGATCCGTTTCCAGGTCGCTAGCACATGTGACGCCTTGACGGAAGCCTTGCAGTTGCCTTGGTATAAGCGACTGAGTAGGAAGAGACGCTTGAATTGCTCCAATAACTCAACAGCACGGTCGAAGCACTCTACTTCTTTGTCCACCAGTTCGTAGAGTTCTGCTCGGTGAGCACCAGGGCTGGAAGTACCCTTTGGACTCCCTTGATCTAGTAGTAGGAGTATGTGAAGCAATGCTGCATCGACAGTCTTGAACACGGTCGGATCGTTTGTTACACTTGCCATGCCTTTTCGCTTCTTCCAAAATTGAAGGTACCGCTTTACGAAATGCAACAGATTGTCACCAAAGGGACCATTGACATTCGTTGGCATGGTCGAGAGATTGTTTTGTTGCAAGAAGTGCTCCACCAGCGTTGTGATGCCGCCATATATTTGTATGCCGTCTGAGCCCTGGACGACTTCTTGATCGAGAATCGGCATTAGGCTCAGGACAACCCGAGGATCTATTTCACCTTCGATGAGCGCTTGTTCGGTGATACGCTTCTCGTTTTCGAATATGATGATGTTCGTTTTGGTACGTAGAACCACGTCCATGAAGAGCATGAGCGAGGCCTTTTGACGAATATATATGAGACTAAGGTATTCAGACTCGTTGCGCGGCTCTTGTCCGCGGATATCGCCTAAGATGGTTTCTATGACTCTTCTGTCAGGCTGGATGCGGGTCGCATCTCCAATAAGCGCATACTGGGCTGCTTCGATTCGTGAATCCAATCGGGTCACTAGAGGGTTTCGTACTGTCCACCATATCTGGTCTCCGGCCCAGACGACAGTCTGTGACTGTAACTTGGACAGGCGCTCCGCAAACTCGCGGTCCGCATTTGCTTGGCGCTTTTCGACTTCATTGGACTCTTTCGCTGCTCCCTCAGATGAAGCAAGCTGCAACTTCCTGACGGTTAGTTTCGCGCCTACTTCCGAAATTACTAGATCGTAAGGCTGCACTACAGTGCGCATACCTATAGGCGTCGAGATATGTGAGCCTTTGGTCTGAACTGGC